GGGGGGGTTCTACGCCAAAAACATTTCAAATTTGCTGAAATACTTCAACTTTGCCACTTTCTCATTGACCTGGACCCCCGGTTTGAGCCGTTTCATGAACAATAATATATCGCCTAGTGGAAAACGAGCTTTAGCGTGGACGAAATTAAATCGTGCGAAAATTAATAACACACGAATGAAATACAAGATGGAATATAAAATAGACTAGAGGTTATTACAACAATGAGATGCTGCTGAATAGGAGTTTCCGGTAATTTCGTCATTACATGAGAATACGTGGCTAGAAAAAGTATCGGACCATGGGACCATTGCATGGTCCCAGAAAATTTTTGAGCTCTCAGAAAATATTTCTTTCCCAAGAAGAAAAAATAATAAAGATAATTGTAAAAAAAGACAATTGTAATTATTTAGATGAAGGAGAAATTCAGAGGCAAAATTCTAACCAATAGAATAGTGCGACAGTGTATAAATGTATAGATTATAAAACGATGTAACAAATGTTGTAAGGCAAATGCATTTTTAGTCAATCTGGGACAGCTGATTTTCAAAATTTGCTGAGGGAGCATGGATCCCCCTGATAGTGCTCCCCTGGTGATGCCCTTTTTTGCATCTGTATTTACCTTCCCTTGATGCATGTTATCTAAATGAGTTTTATGTTATATTCCTAAAAGTATTATTAAGATTCTAAGTGCACTGAAATTAATTCTTTTCTGTTAAAACATAACATTCAGTTTGACAACCTGTTAGTGTCACACAGTTAAAGCGTCCGAGTGTCGATGTAGTTGATTATTCCAATGTTCTCTAGCGGTCCCAGAAAGAAAAAAAAATCCACCCCTGATGTATGTATACAGATTACTACCATCAAATTTAGCCTGATAGCTGTGTATTCATGACTGGTAACACAGTTGCCCAAAATGTCTGTTCAAATTCAGCAATTGTCAATATGAAATAGACTAGAAGTTATTATCGCAAGTAGATGCTCCCTCATAAGCTTTAGCTAATTCAGTGAAATGAAATGAATTAACTGCCTATCTTTCCCTTGAAGGCACATCCCTTGAAGGGAGTGAGCAGTTTTAATAAGAAAAGAACTAAAAGAAAATGTCTACTAGGAGGTTTTACCTGAATAAATGCATTAATGGAAAGTTTTCAGTGCTTTTTTTGTAAATTTAAAGCCAGCTTTAAAGGAATACATAATCCAGGTGATCTCGGAACTCGCCTGCCGAAAATGCCTGGCACTAGTTGTAAAATAGAAATCCATTGCCGATTTAAAATTACTCTATATCTTTAACGGTATACGATTTCTATCTCAAATTTGTCCCAGATATTTATTTCCCTATGCAAGACACAGACACAAAGTTTCAAACAGTTTCACAAACGAATCAGGGCGTGACAAGTGATTAAAGGCACTAAACTGGATTTCTATTCTGTTGCTAGTCCCAGTCCTTTTGTTCACCGTCAGATCACCTGGATGTTGACAGACTGCATGACCGCGGTCTTCGCATGCGTGAAAAGACTGGGACTGGCCTTCAAGGTTCCCATCGAATTTCTGGTTGGAGGAAGCGTTCCAGATACATTCATTTCACTGGGCCAATTAAATTACAAAATTACATTATTAAATCACCAAACAGCACTGATAATTTGCAGCCTTCTTTATTAAATATATACTATCATGTAAGTGCGAAAGAACCTGTTTTGTCAAGGGAAGATTCCTGTGTGCACATTTGAGTAATTGCCTGTTTAGCGGCTCTAACCGACCAGGCAGAAAGGCGATTCATATACCCGCTTGTAACTCCTCGATAAAAACCAATCAGTAACTTGATCCAAACTTCACCAATGAAAAGAGGATCAAATGTCAAAAGGTAAAATTCAGCTTTGTTCAGCACCAAAATAAATCTGTTTCATGAATATAATTGTTTTGTTATTTAAAATACTAAATCCTCTATTGCACAATTTTAAAATTCAATCAATTAAAAATACAAAAACCACAAGGGTTAAATTAACACCTAACTATAATATATAGCGATAAAAACAACATTTTCCTAAGGAACGGCACTTTCATGTTCAGCTTGCTGTTTTCCAGAAAGTCATTTTGTTTCATCAATATATAATCTACATCACAAAGTTCGCATACTGTAGAATACTATATACAACACCTTGTCTGCGTTAAAACCAATACTACATCCTTAGGTTGTACCAATCGCCTCTTGAACGTAAATATTGAGGTTTACGGAAAACCCGCTCTAGCTGGAAGCCACCATGAGATCATTACTGTATGTTCTTGCCCTCTGTAGTATCGAGGTTGCCCTCTGCAGTAATGGGGTCGCTCTTTGTAGTATTTTGGGTGTAGAGCTGTATTCGACTTTCTTGCAAATTCCATGCAGAAATTTACACGGATTCTCCATTCACTTTTTAAAACCCCGTTTCTTTTCTAGTTTTTGCTCATTGCTATATCATCAGATATTACAGTCACTCTGGGAAAGCGTCCTTTCCACTGTGCTGTGGGAATCAAATTCCAGGTGGCGTTGTCAATGTGTTGGTTTTCAGTACATTTTCGTATTTTGGGTGAGTGGTGATGGCTCAATGTGCATAGGAAAGGCCATTTTAAAGGGATAATGAATTTAAGTCACGATTAAAGGTAAATAGACGCGATATGAGGTATGAAAATAGGCAGAATAGAAAGATATCAAAGAATAGAAAGATATCAAAGGGCAGGGACCAACATTTGACACAGAGTACAAACAGAGACATCACTGACTCTAAATGCTAGGCATGTTCAAAGGTTAGAATTTCAGAATTAAAAAACTTGACGGATTAAACTGTTGGAGTAGAAATCTGTGTGGCCAGTGGAACACATACTGTATAGCTACCCATTTCTACAACGAATTTCTGGAAATAGTTGGAGCCGAGTGACTGTACAAATTCTCATAGAACAGATGTAAAAGAAAAGGTGTAATAAAAATGAAAACCAGCTTTGTAAGCAAACGATTCAACAGCAAATTCGCGAAAAACTTGCAAACTTAGCTGTGCGATGTTAGAAAATGTAAACGAGGTTAGAAAAGAAAGGAAGTTCTGCTGGTCATACCTGGAGGATGTAAGACCAGTACTTGTAGGAGATCAGACAATGACATCACACCAACAACATGATCTTCTTTGTCCACAACAACAAGACGATGAACCTGAAAATGTACATTAAAAGAAGAAAACGTTTTCAGGGGCGGACTTGAAATCTAGTCCAGTCCTCATAGTCGGATTTGATAATTGATATATATTACTTAAAACAGCTAGTATACGCTGAAACGTGCAGAAACGGAAAGGTGGAAAAGCTCTGCGCCCACTCCAAAAATTTCAAAAGTGACTCATTGCTTAAGATTTAATAAAGATGCAGATAAGAATACAAATTTTGTACAAATTAAATCACAACCGGAGGACGGTTGTATAAAAGGCTTACCTAGACTGTATATATATTTTTAACTCATGGTGAGTACCCGTTTTGTAGTGAAATATAAGCATAAAAGGCACGGGATTTTCCTACTAGATGTTCTGGTATTTTCATTTTATATTTTCACACCCTCTTCCCTCACTATACCATAGTTTTCTTATCTGCAATCGTAACTTACCCCTGCTTTGACAATTCTATCTACAACAACGTGTAGTGGCTCGGTTAAGCGACAACGATGCACACCTTCAAATCCCTAAACATGTAACAAAAATAATATTGAAATTATACAGACTATATATAACACAGTATTTACTATATACCTGCACGCTGCCGCCAAAACCATTTTAGAAATAGCACAGACCTAGAAACTATATTTCCCTTCCTGGCAGCAAAAACGAAAAATTTCCTGTGCAAGTCAAATCTAAAACTTCCTGCATATGTAGATTTCAGAGAACGTATGGTGCCACACAGTGTGGTAAACTTCAATCTCGGCACAAGACAATCAAAACGCTTTGGTCGAAAATGTTTAAACAATAAGAAAATAATAATTAGCGTTCGAGTGTATAATACAGGGTTCGTACATGTGAGGAAGAGTAAACTTCAAGGACTTTTCAAGGACATTCAAGGCCATGTATCAGCAAATTCAAGGACTAAATACTGAAGAAGGGGTTAGAAATCACTAAAATCTGACGTTGAATTTTTTAACATGCAAAATCAATTCAACAAAATGCTCGTTTTGAATGTAAACAATTTCAGAAAATATCCAAAAACTAAAGGAAGAAAAATTTAAGGACTTTCAAGTACTTCTTTACAAATTCAAGGACATTCAAGGCCTTGAATTTTTGTTTTCAAATTCAAGGACATTCAAAGACTTTCAAGTTTTGTACGAACCCTGATAATAGGACAGATATTTTCTGCAAGGTCTAAATTTCCTGCGAAAATATTTTGTTAACAATTTCCTGGCAACAGTGTTGCTGGATATTTTCCTGTACTGAACAGCAATATACATACCTCAGCTCTATGTTTCAAGGCTTCAATAACAGGAACATCTAAGTTGTTGTAACTTTTCTCTGCTGCTAAATTCTAAAGTAGGTTAAAATATCTCGTCAGGTGAGAGTTAAAAAAAGACTTCGTCTCCATTAAGGTGGCTCGCTACAGTTTATAGAAATGTTGAAAATGCGTAAACTAGATCACCTTTTTGAAGAGATGATGCACTTTTTCAAATCGAAATTTGTATATTATATATACAGTGACGTCATCGTATATTATATATGAAAAGTGACGTCACCACTGTTGCTATGGCAACAATGACGATTCAAGATGGCCGATATTTTGGCTTTGGACCAGTCTTTGGACGCATTTTACTTTAAAAAAGGTCGGTTACCCCCATTTTGTATTTCAGAAAACATTTTCTTATAGTACAATACACTATCTGACCAATTTTAAAAAAATTCTGTAATGCCAAATTTTTTAAAAATTTATAAACATGGTTTTTCGAAATAATTTTTTTTTTGCATTCCAGAATGTTTTTAAAATTGGTCAGATAGTGCATTGCACTATAAGAAAATGTTTTCTGAAATAAAAAATGGGGGTAACCGACCTTTTTTAAAGTAAAATGCGTTCAAAGCCAAAATATCGGCCATCTTGAATCGTCATTGTTGCCATAGCAACAGTGGTGACGTCTCTTTTCTGACCAATTTTCGACTGTTTGATTGTCGCTGTATATATAATATACAAATTTCGATTTGTAAAGAGCATCATCTCTTCAAAAAGGTGATCTAGTTTACGCATTTTCAACATTTCTATAAACTGTAGCGAGCCACCTTAAGGTTTCTTTGAGGCTCGTTTACACGGGCGATTTTAGGAGCGATTTTCTCCTTTTGGATGATGTGAAGGAGTAAATTACTTAATCATGTTGTTATGAGATTCCAGAACCTGGAATATTTAGAACTCATCCACTCCTTCACATCCTCCAAAAAGAGAAAATCGCACCTAAAATTGCAGGTTAATAAAACAAATGGTTTGGGGAGACACCACAATCATTGTTCTACACCTTCCCTCATGCTTATAGATTTCTACGTGCATCTATTTAGCATGCGATGATTGAACAAAATATTTGTGCAGCCCAGGACCGGGGACGTCGTGAAGAAGGTTTATTACCTTTCTTGGGCACAACCCTAATTAACAAGAACGGTCGAGTAGAAACGAAAGTCTACATCAAGCCAACAAACACCGGCCTTATGTTACATTATGATAGTCATGTAGACGTGAAGTATAAGAAATCGGTCGTCATGTTTTGACCAACTTTTCCAAGAATTGGGGGGGGGGGGTCAAAAAATGTTCCGGACTAACATAAGCAAAGCTTCAAATACTTTTCGACCAAAATAAGCAAGGCTTGCAATTGTTTCAGCGCAAACATGACCAAACCTTAGAAATTGTTAAAATTGCGAACGATTTCATAACTTTGACCATCTTTTATCTCAAACTTTGACCAAATTTTACCAACTTTGACCTTCAATTTGAAGCAAATATTAGTTCCATTTTGACCAACGTTTTGAATTATTGCATGGGGATGTGTAACCCCCCCCCCATGTAGCGACGTCCCTGCCCAGGACTTTCAAATTCAGCTAAAAATCGATTGTACTGATTGATTGTACACTTAATTCTGAGCCCTAATTTTTGTTGGCAGCAGTGTTCTTTAAAATTTTGCTGTACGTGTACTGTACGTATACTCGACTACTTGTATCCAAATTTGGGCATTGACTAGAACAATTTTTATAGTTGCATGACGCTAAAGACTAAAACGCATTGTACTACAGAACAACATGACAACTTATCAATTATTAAGGATGGCTTTCTTTTTGACGTTTTTTCAGGGATTTCATATCCAAATTTGAGCTCAATTGCTTGCAAACAGCTCTCAATTTCAATTCATATAAATAACGCAACCTGTAAAAGTAAAAACCTTGTAAAAAAGGCAACCGCTGCTAGCCCCCGTGCTGCACTGAATGCAAACATCCAATAGACAAATCCTCGCTTGCACGAATTCGCCCTCCAAGTTGGTTACGCATAAAAAAAACCCTGAATACATGGAAAATATCGACTTACTATCACATCAAATCTTGCGTAAATATCCACAACGACACCTAAAATGAAACGTAAAAGCTTTTAAAAGGCCAATAATAATAATGCATGCATGGTAATTACACATTGCATTCAACGTTTCGTTTACCATCCTTGTCCACAATTGGCAAAGCAGATACTTTATATTCAGCAAACGTATTAAGAGCTGTAATGACCGGGGTTTCGGGGCTTATCTAAAGAAAAGAAAATATCTAAGTCAAAGTAAAGTAGACTGTGAGCGGTCCCTCCTTTCCACGGGTTTAACTTCCCGGGCGTTCGAGGGGAAAGGAGAGACTGCCGACAACGCATCAAGACGCCCACTTTTCGCTCTTGTCAAGTTGGCTCCGCATTTGCATAAACATTACTTATATCCAATTAAATCTATCCAATAGGAACCGTTAATTTCACGTTTATTTATAAAATCAACATTCAGTCTGGAAATTATTTATAGCATAATTACTACATATCAGATTTGATTGACAGGCGTATCGATTTCGAAGTTAGAAATGGGCAAAAGTTAGAAATGGGCTTTGGTTATAAATCCAACAGTGCACTTTCGTTTTCCCCCTAGAAATAATGACCCTTACTAGACTGCATGCTTGGTTTAATTAACATACCGTGGCAATCTTACACAACGTCCCAATACCAAGTTCTCCCAACGTCTTGTACATAAAATCCGGCATGACCAATTCATTAAACTACAAAACCAAGGTACATATTCATAATAGGTTTGTCACTGCAAATGTACATGCAGTATTGGCAAGTTTTATATTAAAGCTAAAGAGCTAAATATTGTGAAAACCGATACATACAGTAGGTATAATACTCTCTTGAGATCAATAGTCAAGAGTACCAAAAGTGGTGGAAAAGTCTGGTAAACAACGGACAAGACCAAACAGCGATGGAGTGTGTTTTCCCATCTGCATGTAGGCAGTGTTTGGCCAATAATTCGTACATGCAAGTCTTATTATAGTACTAAAAATGTCCGCCCCACTATAATTGATGCAAACTACATATGGGGCGCAACTGTAAGCAAATCCGACAAGAGACAGGGGATTCTAAATAGACAAACCTTAGACTGTCACTGTGTCAGGGTTGGTTTTTCTTGACTGTTTGCTGGGTCTGTTTTCGCAGAGAAGATTGAGCTTACCAAAACAGCTGGGAGTCTGGGGCGACTGTACACTTAATAATTCCTTGAAGATTCCCCCAAATGCTTGCTGTTGTGAAATTTAACTGCCATGAAACTTTTGATGAGATGACTAAGTTTCAAAACTCAGTCACACGGTTTACCCTAAAAAATCCTGAGGAAAACTCCGCTTGAGATTTGACGTTAGGATTAAGTGATGGCTGAAATTTTAGAGATAAGTAAACTCTCTCTCTTAATAAGAGTTCAACGATACAGGAAGTCAAGATAGAGAAATCATCAACAGACACAGGATTACCCGCGATGACTGGTGATGAGTTTTGAAAGAGGTTTGCCAATATACACCGAAATTTTCACATGTTCCGAAATGCACTTACGAAATTGGCAAATGGTTTCACCAAAATACAATGCACCACAGCACTGACACACCTAAGTGTTCGTACCATGATCTGTTATTGTAATAATATTTAGTTTCTATTCCCTTAATCAAATTTTCTAACCTGATATACTGCCGTATAAAAGCTGCTGTACACATCGAATAACTTTGTATTGCTCTGTAGATGTTGCAAGAAGCAACGAAACGTAAGCTTGTTAAATTAATTTTCATGTAAACGAAATTGTATTTAGCCTATGGCCATTTTAAAATAGTTGTCTGGGCTATAATATTTTGAACAAAACTTCGTTTTCTGCCCGGAATATCGAATGCCACAGTATATTTTATTATATATACAGTAGTATATACGGTACAATTTCCTCTCAAACATAACTCGTTAACACTGCGACACCAATCCGTTAAAACTGTCACAATTCATGAAAACGTTCATAATTATAGTATACTCACATGTTCGTGAAGATAATGGAGAATTCTCTTGTGTGATATCACAAATAAAAAATTAGATGAAGAAGGATCAATTACTGGTAAGCGATGAATCTTGTGTTTTATTAGCAATTCACACGCTTCGTATAAACTGAAAACAAAAAACAAACAAACAGATTAAAACTTGTAGAAAGGAACGTAGATAATCATACTGCATTATTCAGACCTTGAATTTCGTTTGTAGCAGGAGAGTGGCAAACCACCCTTCCTGGTTTCACTAAAGAGAACGTTAATAGCAGGGGTGCAGAGAGGGGGCTCAGACACCCTTGTCAAAATTCCGTGTCGACTTGGGAAGGGGCTTAGCAACTATATTCTTGTATATAACAATAAGCTTTTCATCACACACACAAACCGAGAAATAAAGTTGACTTATTCTGAGCAGTGATGTACTACAAAAAAATTTAATCTACTACAAAACAAACAAACAAACAAACAAACAAACAAACAAACAAACAAACAAACAAACAAACAAACAAACAAACAAACAAACAAACAAACAAACAAACAAACAAACAAACAAACAAACAAACAAGCAAGCAAGCAAACAAACAAACCCAACGTTCGAGGGAAGGCATTTTCAGCAGAGCGCCAGTGTAAGTATACGATTATTTCGACTTAAATTCCAATCAACACCTCAACTTCGAATATTACCTATATTGGTATACTCGTGGTAATTCTAGTGGATTTTAAATGATAAGCACTTCATCGACCATACCTTTGAAATGGCGAAATTTGAATTAATGTCGACGGCAGTTTTTTCTTTGACAACTCTGGAAAAAAAGACATTGAGTTTGACAATGCTAAGGTTGGTTTACACTATCAACGTTTCTATGATCACAGTAGGATTTTGTGTTATCTCCCGAAGCCGGAAGCCGAGGCAGATATACTACAAAACAGGCCTTGGTTATTCAGTCTTCACATAATGTGAAAATCGAATTGAATATTATTTTATTATTAATAATATGCATAAAAATATTACTCGACTATGATTGGTTGATTTCAGTGCAGTTAAAACAAAACAGCAGTGCAATTTTCTGTAATTACAGTGTAATTTTCTGTTATCACAGTGCAATTTTCTGTTATCACGGTGCAAAAATCTGTAACAAACTGATCTGATTGGTGGAAAAACAATGTGATGATAAAATCAACCAATCAGTTCAAAGCAGTTCTCAAACAACGGTCACAGACTGCTTCAAAACAAAACAAAACAAAACAAAACAAACATGGCGCCGCGCTACATAAAGTAAAAGTTGACTTCGGTTGGAAAATATGACTTTTATCTTTTTTTAAATGGAAAAGCCTTCACCTTAAACAAGACTAACAAAACTTACATAGTTTGAGTGGAATTTTCAAGCTATTAGCGTTGTATAATGTGATATAACAAAGCCAGGAACATTTTTATGTATATTATTATTAAATACGTAATACGATTTCTCGAGAAATTTGGATAAAACAAGCACTCGTGATATTTTTAAAACAAATATGTTAGGACCTTCCGTCGGTATGTTTTGGTTTTTATATTTAGTCTTTCTTTATTTTGTTTAAGTGATTTCCTAAAGTCTGCAAGCGATCATGGTCCGGTGGAAAGAGAAGCCATTTTTTGGTTCATAATGGCACGTTGTATTAATGGCATGACATCATAGAGGCAATATTAATCTTTTCTCGGACCCATCGAATACCCAATCGTTCAATAATTTTTACTCATATTGCATCATTGGTGTCACAACTCAATATTTGGTTAGCCAATCAGAGATCGAGGATTCATAATATTACTATTATTCTCGTTTATTTCCCTACTTGTAATTACGAGAATAAATTGTAAGCGATTTACATGAGCATAATTTAAATACAATATTTACAGATTTAAAAATTATGTACCAGCTATATAAGGACAAACAGTATTCTAAAATGTATGTATTAATATAATATTATCTGTATCTATATGTTAAAAAGCTCTTACATCTTTCTGTCATGATCTTAAGTACATCTACTTGGTTCGCATTTCTTAAACTATACCCGTGTGAGTTAGTATTGTACGTTTTGGTCAAATGATGGAGAGTATGTGAATGGTTCATTAATAACAACATTCAGGATGCGATAAATCGCATACTTATAGTAAGTATATATTACGCACACCTTCAGTCTTAAATTTGTACCAGCTCAAGTTTGAGGCAATAAGTCATTAGAGTACCAGTCAGGTACCACTTAAAAATCTGGAATCATCGCACTCTGAACAATAATAACAAAAGATTTCTTTGGTGGGGATGCAACTACCTGAAAAATACTAAGCGAAATTCGACGAAGGACCCTCGCTCGAAACGCAGAATTTCATTTTGTAGTTTTCAGGTCGTTGTATCCTTACCAACGAAAGCTTGTGATCATTAATAACGTCTGTTGAGATGAGACAATCTAATCTTTATTGCCAAAACTTTTTAAATAGTTATTGCACATTTACCTCTCCAAGTTTCAATTCTATGTTCTTCTACTTCTTCCATTTGTACCTTTAAAGAAATCAAATTTGAGCTCACTGTCCATTATTAAGGGATCCAAAACATTATGAACCTTCAAATAAAATGAAAATCCTTGTATTTCAGCATGAAAAATGACATTGACAAGCACATCATTGGGCCGCCGTGTTGAATAGGATATACGAAAGGGGCACCCTTATACGATGGGCGGGGAGGGCATTTTACCATGGCCGTGGGGGTAAAGCCCAAAGAAATAAGGGAAATATGCATATACTAGATACATTGCATTACTGTCAAATAGTCTCCCAGAATGCAAAATTTTTCTAGAGGACCCTCTTAAGTTCCTAAGTACTGAATACAGATTTAAAATGTTGTCTAAATGGTCAAAACAACAGGATGTAATATAAATGCCTATTATTTTACACTTCTAATTTTTACTGCCATTTCTAGTGCGATTATCTTCTTTTGATGCATGTGAACGAGTATAGATGAGCTGTGAATATTCTGAAATCTGAATATATGTACTCTAGTCTCAACATTTATAACTTATCCACTCGTTCACATCTATCAAAAGAAAAAAATCGCACTATAGCAAGTGTTGCAAGTCTAAAGGGGCCGTAAGTGTTTATCCTGCAAGTCAAGAGTATGGAAATCAATTTTGTAAAATAGCATCTGACCCAAAAGATTTCTGGGCGGTCCTGATGAACGAATATAAGACCAGAGCAGCTACGGTTTGTACAGACAGCTACGGTGTTCGATTTTATCATGCACAAAAATGTATCATACGTTAAAAACGACCATTTCAGGACATCTTACTTACCAAAGGCGATTTATAATATGAAACTAATATATTTATGAAATCTGAAATTGTCAACATTCCTAAAATGAGAAAATAATAAAATATTCAAAACCTAAAAATCACAAGAAAAATGAAAACATATTACGAAGAAAATACTAACCTACATAATCTTGTTTAGTATTATCCCATAAAGGCGCTGACCTCACACCTGCAAAAAGTAAAACAATCTAGGCTGAAATGTCTACTAGATTTAGATCAGTCATTTTCAAGTCCTTTGCTTTGTTTTTCTATTATCGATCGCATCTCCAATTTAAAATCTCAGTCACTTGGATGAATACTATTCGCCAACCGATTACTTAAATATAAATGTTGATCCATCGTTCGAAAGCGGAACACAATATATACAGTAGAACTAAGAACACCGCTAACTCGAACTCCCCGCCAACTCGAACAAATTTCATTTTTCCTTGCTCAAATTTACCCGGTTAACTCAAACTGTATTTTTGAGACGTGGATAGGCAAACCTCAGAATGTCAGAATATAGCACATCAACTAGTTAAACTAGACAGTCAAAATTTAATTGGTATATATATAATATATACAAACGTAATCAAGTCCATAAAGAGATACGAGGATCAAGAAGTTGTGTCGATCATTACTGCATGATCTAATGTAGCTTATATGTACTGCTTAACTTAGATAACAGTAGTACGAACTCTGTAAGTTCTCTAGAGTGCACCGTAAGCCATTGTCATGATGAATGGTAAAACGACTGTACCTTAATAAATATTAAGTATAATAAACGAAACCCAACATCGACCCCGTTAACTCGACCCCTCCCCCGGCCAGTCGAACAATTTTTCATTTCCCGTGAGAGTTCGAGTAAGCGGAGTTCTACTGTAGTTAGCTAAGCTTTCAAATGAATATAAACATTAAAAAAGTTTTACTATTTTCTTATCAACTGCATGATTTCATGCAGGCAAGATTTGGTTATGAAGATCCAAGATCATTGTATAATATGTGTAACTGCTTTACTCAACGTGATTACCATTAGCAACCAGGGCGTAGAATGCCTTTTTCACCTAAAAACAAAGGTGCGAATAATAATGAAGACCTAATATAAAGTACTAAATTATTTAAAGATATAGTCGTCAAAGTTTTAAAGTTATACAGTGGTATAGAATTTTGTGGTCATGAAAAGGTTGAGTGCCCAAAAACAACATTACAGTACATGACACAAGCACATTTGCAATTTGAGCCTTATATTTTTTCTTGCTCCTGTGCCAACGATGCTATGGAATGGTCAGCAGCATGGCAATTCCTCTTTTCCAATCGTTACGAAATTTGATACCACGTCATAGATAGTAAATTACCTATAATATTCCCATGCAGGAGAAACAAAACCTCGAATTCCATTCATGTTTCCTAATGTTTTCTGACTGTAAATATTTATTTACTATACTTTACTTGCAGTATTATTGCAATAAACAAATATTTAAGCCGGTTATACAGAGAGATTTCTATGACAAGTTTTCATATGACAATTTTTTTTTTTTTCTTGCCACATTATGACGTCATACTCTCTATCTATAACTGAACAGACAACAGCAAAATCTTATCTATTTGTAAACTGGCAAAGTAATTTGAGCATTGATTAACGATCTATCGCTGTATCTAATAGCTATCGATCGTGGCGGTAAGGAAACCAAAAATTTGTCATAGAAAATTTGTTGTGTAAATGCACGTGCAATTGACAAATAAAATTTGCTATAGAAAACTTGTCATAGACTAGGAAATTGTTGCAATAGGCTACTCACCAGTAACCTTGTATCAAAAATAACAATCTTGGCACTTTTTGGCACAATATCATAACACGTATGACGTTTCAAAAGAGCAGCAAATACAGCTCCTTCTGTATCGTCTGACAGGACTAAAAGCAAAAATACTGCATATGTTACAAATAATGCAAAACCAAGACAATCATTAAGACATCTACCAGCAAATATAGAGGAGGCTTAGTCGATAGAAAAATTTGTGATTTGTAAATAATCATTGTATTTCACAAGTAAAATTAATTCTGAAATTTGCTCAAATAAACTGACTAAACTGTAGTTCGTTTAGCGCCTGCACAAGAAATGACGAAGAAAACACAATTCAGGGCATTTTTTAACTATATAACTACTGGGGCATTTACCCCAGTAGGCCCTTTGCTTGCCCCAGTAGTGAAGCAATACTTCAGATGAGCTGGGCCCTTTTGATCATTAGTTAAAAGTCATCCTTGTTGAAAAAGCTGCATCTGCCTGCATTCTTATATCCTCTCACATTCTCGACATTCATTCATTCATTTCATCTTAACAAAGTCAGGACAGCATGGTCTTTACGTACGCGTAACTGTGTGAGGGAAAAGGCCCTCATTGAGACTTAGCCCCAGTAGTTGTGATTCAGTAAAAAATGTCCTGAAACACATCATATTAGTTCACATCCGAAAGTAAACGCAATTGTATTAACACTTGGTGTAGTACATGATGGCCTCGTCCGAACTGTAACGGAGACGTTTTGAAAACAATGACGTAAATGGATGAAATTTAAAATCCATTCATGCTAATGCCAGAATAGAAACCTGTCAAATCCGCAATAAAATGTTCGTGGATCGATACAAACGGATCTGGATACGGTAAAAAAGTTATTACTACCAAGTGTAAGAAAATAACTACACTGTAAATTTCAACGAGTCTAATCAAAGCATGGATGATATCAAAGCAAGCGACGTTTTTTGTCAAGATGGACGACAGTTTGTCGAGTTTATTAAGTTCATGTGTTTGTATCAGTTTGTGGTAATCTTCAACACATGAGAAAACCTAAGATTTTTAAAGTTTTTTGTATACAGTAGGTAATAATATGGTTTCGAGTGCAATTTGGAAAAACAAGCACGAGTGAGTTTTTCAAAAGACTATCAAAAACTCACGAGTGTTAGTTTTTTCAAATTGCACGAGAAACCATAGTACCATACTATTACTTATGAATAATATACTTGAAAAAAGTGCAGTCACGTGCGTAAGTCACATTTAGAAATTAAGAAATTAAGAAAATTAAGAAATTTTAAAAATAAAAAAATTAAGAAATTTGCATTGTATTTCTTCTTTTTTGTGCAGTGTACAGTATCCCATTTTTCGGCACTGTATTTCGAAAAAATTGCACTTCTCCTAGCCAATCGGAATTGAGAATTTTTTTCATGTATATTATTAGCTTCCTTACACGATGTTGCAAAATGCCGCCAAAATTATACCAATTTTCGGGTGACGTCCGTGTTGAAAAAACGTCGCTTTCTTAAGCCCACTAGTAAGACTTTTGGAGTTGAATACTTGAATCAACTCCATCAAATTTACACAGTGTACAGTAAAATAATAAAAGAAAGTTCGTGAGTTCTAAACTTCGTACCTGACATGGGCTCATCCAGAAAAAAGTCATGAGGATAAGGAGTCTACAAACATACAGAAAGTACAGCTCTGTGAATAGACACAACATTAAGCACAACTCTGGTTATCAGGACGATGTTTGTTTGTCCGTCTTCATCATATTGATGCAACCACTACCTTACAGTACTGTTGAAATTCAGTTTCTGTACGCTTGGATTTTTTCGAAACCTTGTCACGTGCACTTAAAAGTAATATAATGCATGCAGGTATTTTTATATGAAATTAACAGCATTCAGCCAATTCTTTTGTAGAAAAGGTTGTGTTTTGTGTAAATCCGTGCTTCTGTTTAAATTCACATGTGGTATTTAAGGGCATTTCTGTATACCACTGTAAACGAATGCGCATCCAAGTCTCAGTTAGCATAATATAATGGTCTAAATGCAGCCCGAATTTCATTCATCACTATGACTCGTAAATTTATGATATGAAATTTGTCTGATGGTCATTCGCAAGCGACTAACAATTTATTCATCACTTTTTATCTATAGTCTACTTACTGTACGGTACTAGCTAATATCACTGAAACATAGAAACTTTGCACTAAAAATTCAAATGACCATAATCTAAAGCAGTTAATTAATAGACCTTATGCATAATGACGTCACAAGGCGTGATGCGCGCAGGGAATTCTGGTCTTAGTAGTCACGGCGGGAAAATTGAAAACAATCCAACATGGCTACTGGCGAATGCGTATACTTTTCTTTGTCGTCTTTTATAGAAGCTGTTAAAGCCAACGAAGACCTCAGTTCTTTTCAGAACTTGCTCGGGTCTTCCGAGCTTTGACAACCCTGAAAGTGACGGCAACAGTCCGCTTTCATCGACCAGCACGAGTAAAGAAGTGGCGGTTTTTCGTGTTGTGTTCCTGGTTGTTGTGCCAACAATAAAAGAAATCCGGAGCTTTCCTTTTATAATTTTCCAAGTGGCAACATTGTGAAATCAAAATAACACCGTAAGAATTGGACAAATTTCTCTCCAACAGCAGGCCATAGAGTGTGTTCTTTGCATTTTCCAGGAGGACGTAAAAGCTACATTTAACCAGCTGCAATATGTGAATGTTCCAAAGCCTACACCGACGAATTATGGATTAACAATAAAAGCACAGAATAGAACTCCTTTGTGTATAACAGAATATAGTTCGCGATTCATTTTATTGTTGGTAAAACAACCAGGAACACAAAACGGTCTTCATTGGCTTGAACAGCCTCTAAAAGACGACAAAGAACAATAACACACTCGTATTCGATAGTAGCCATGTTGGATTGTTTTCAATTTTCCGGCCACGACTACTGAGGCCAGAATTCCTCGCGCGCATCACACCTTGTGACGTCATTATGCACAGGGATTATTGTCCAAATAACGTACATCTCGAACGTTCGGTGGCAGTGTATAGACACGATAACAGACATGCAGCTGTGTCGGGAACTTCGTTGGGCCTGGCAAAGGGCATTCGCTCGAAACGTCGAAGCTTTGCTCATATTTCTCAGGTAGTCGTATATCCTACACGCCGCAGCTGTCAATGGATGAGTTGCCAGTTCGCAGGCCCCCTTTGTTTTGCGCGTCCAATTGCCCCCTGACGATCCCATTGTGTGATGATAATGCAATGCATTATAACAGGTGGGCAATTTGTCGACGCTGACCAAAAATAGCGGCTCATTTCTTCTTGAGTTGCCATTTTCGCGTCGAAGAGCAAAAATATAGACTTTCGGAGAATATTTTAGAGCTCTGTTTACTATCAAATATGTTTGTGAAACAGTTGATAATCTCACTGAGGAAGGCCAACGGTTTCTGAAAAGCTAAAGTACGTCGAAATCAGCGTTGGAATAGACTATATTTTCACCGGGGAAACATGAACTACATGGATATTTACATCAACACTAAATTTCGCTCGTGCCTACAGAGCTAGTTGGATTAAAACAGATGTTAAGAAGTGAAAATGTGAATTTTGTGAATTATACCTTCATTAAAATGTTTCAGAAGGGCTGGTAATGTCAAACTACACGTGTGACAGAGCTGATACCCATATTTCAATGTTTATGTTGAAATGACCCATTTTCTTTGAGGTATAGCTTAATATTTAGGGTATGCACATCACTTGAAACTATAGCTTTAAATCAAAGTTTTATCTATAGTCTTTTTATTAGAATTGAAATCATTCATGGGAAAAATGTGCCAGAGGGTTGAAATTGCCCTTGTAAATGTACACTATTTTTTATATGTTTGGGTTAATATTTTGAAAAGGTGTTCTGGAAGGAAAATATGTCTTGAACAATACTGGTTGACCCTTAAATTATAACTAGAGTTATGTAAATCACAGAAAATTGAAAAAAGTCTGGTCCATACACAATAGTTTGGATTCTATGAGGTCCCGAATGTGGCTTATTTCAATGTTTAATCTGTTTACCTGGAAAAACATAGAAAATTGAATAAGTCAAGAATTTGACTATGCTCATCACCCAAAACCAGGTTTTTCTAATTGCTTTTTCACCTGGGTTTGTGGCAATACCAGTTATGCGACCACAAAAAATGCGCGCGGCACTTTTTTGGGACACTGAAGATGACAACATTTGGTGTTGTTATCTATTGCCATCCTCTTATCATAGTATAACTTAACTTATTTTAGTGAGTTTGTTAAATAATTGTGCTCACTATATGCCTGTAGTATCTAAGATTTTTTTCATAGCATTAGATGATAAATTTAAGTTCTGTTTTCTTTTATTTTTAGGTGATAGTATCTGTTCACATGTGTGTTGGTATCAAATTTTGCACAAGATTAAATTATTATTTCACATTCCTTTATTGAAATATCCAAATAAATGGAATATGACATCAAGCTGGAGGACTAAATCCTGTTTCCAAACTTGTTTTTGTAAAAATAGAAAATAACAATTATTATGTGTTGTTCTAATAAAAACTATTGCTTGTGATATGCATATTAAATATTCGAAATTACATTTCATTCTTTGTTAAAATGTGTACCAGGAATAATGAAATCTTTCAGATAAGCTAACAATACCTTTGTAACTTATATAGCCAAGTGTTCTATCTATTTCTGTTCAGATTAAACAAATGATGGGTAAAATATTAAATTAGATTTTTGCCAAAAAATGAGCTTGCCTGTTTTCAAAGCATAAAAAGCAATAAAATAAAGCAAAAGTACTTATTTTCAATATAAAACCTTTGGAATGCATAGCTTAACGTTTTCCACTAAATATTACAAAGTTTTCGTTCATTAAAATGTTGTTTTATCAGCTTTAAAACCAGATAAATTCACGAAACACTCCTAAAATATGTCGCCATATTGATTTTCTTCGCGCATGCTCAGACAAATTGCCCACCTGTTATGCATTATGGGATCGCCAGAGGGCAATTGGCCGCGCAAAACAAAGGGGGCCTGCGAACCGGCAATTCATCCATTGTCCAAATAGCACTTCACGTACCTCATCAATATGAACAAAATTGGCTTTGTCTTGAGCCATCTGCTGGGGCCCACCATGTGGAACCCACTGTTCAAATTCAAGAACATCAAAAGGATAATTTGCATCAGTTGGATGTGGCAAGGCCATGTCATCCCTAAGCGATCCCAAGCCTTCTGGGTGATGTTCATCATTGGGAACAGATCCTGGTCTCCTCTTAAACGCAATATCACGGTCGCCTTCTCCTTCTGTTTGGGTTTTCCATTCTAAAACACGGTCATAGCTGGATTGTGTTGCCTCAGGCGGTAGTATGAGTTTTTCATTGTCCTTATTGGTCATCACATTCGTTGGGGTAGCTTCCTAAAATATTAAGTAACGTTATATGCAATTACAACCGATTCGGATTGAGCGTTAAATTCAGTGTCGTGTTCGTCGCGTTTCTACGCAGAGATAATGCCACGTTGTGACTTTCAAAATGCATGTAGAGACAAAGCAATTTGGTGAGTATTAATAAAGGATATCGTATTGTTGGTTGCAATTTGGAAAAACATACACGGGTGAGTTTTTCAAAGACGATTTAAAATTAGACATGCCAGAAAGATGAGTTGCAATGGACCATTTGCATTATAGACTAGATTTTGATCTAAACAAGTCTAGACAAAAATTTCATCACAGCTTGAAAGAGCATCACAAAATTAGTAATATTCCAGAGTTTCGTTGCGAAATGTTGTAAAATGCGGATAATATAGCCTTGCGAAGTTTGCCGTTTTTCGGTCATTTTGTATTACAAACGGGAATTTGACAGCCCCAAAGGGTATTGGGCTGTCAATTTCCCCCCGCGTAAGGGGGGAAATTGAAATTACACGAGGAACCATTAAATGTTCGAAGTTAAAACATATAGAAAAATGTCTTCTGGTAACGCACTTGCCACATACTTCTTTTTTGGCACTGTAATTCGATAAAATTGCACTGCTCTTAGCCAATCAGAATTGAGTCATTTTTAATCATTTAATGTACATTTATAATATACATGTACATGCTTATAAGATATACAGTATATAGTTGATAGAGCATTGGACTAAAAAATCAAAGGTTGCGGGTTCGATTCCCACCGCGGTCAAGCAAACTTTTCAGCTTGCCCGGTGAGGTCACACTCAAAGTAACATAGAGTGGATCGATATACCGGATATATCCGGTATACCCGTATTTGTTTAGATACCGGTATTGGCGATATTGACAATTTAAAAATACCAATATACCGACATTTCGGTATTTTGCTGCCTAATACCGAATTGAAACGCTATTTCAAGTCAAACTTGTTTACAATCACGTTTAGAAAGCAAAGTTAATTAGATTTACATCACCTTGTAGTACTGAATGATTCAACACTTCGACGCCCAATCGACGGCCTACTAATAATTGCCGCTTAGCACCGTTAACATAGCTTGATAATGCGAATCTTGTGACATTTGCACTAATAACAGTATGTGCCACATTTATATTTTGTCAAAACTTGATTTTTCTCGACGGTCAGCAGTTCAAATTGGCTTAAAATAAACGTTAAAAATACCGGTATTCTGATGGCGGTATATCGGTATTCGGTATTTGCGATATCGATCCACTCTAGAGTAACATCATAAAGAATTAACATAATACATATTCTGTTGAGTGTAAAATCTCAACATTTTCAAGTAAATGTACTCTGCATGTTTGTGATCGGATTTTTAAAACAAAAGTACAGTGTACTGTATTGTACTGTATATATGTGTTAACAACTCCATTTTGAGAAAGGTGATTTTTATAATTCATTGTCTTTTATTGTCGTAAGATCAACCTATCACAAAGCAGGTGGCTGACTTTTGGTAATAGACCAAGTAACATAACTTAGCACCACGCAAATTGCCCATTCTTGAGAAACATATTATGCTACATTTTGGATCTTAGCCTAATCAGAATGCATTGTTTCGTATCTAAATATAAACTGACAAGATTTTGTTGGCACCTCACACTGTCTGGAAAAATGTTTGAAAATCCATATGTAGAAGGTCATAGAAATGATAGAATGGAAATTGTATGGACCTTTATTGGAAACAGAATGGATTTTGATTATCCATAATAATTGTATATTTCCATGCTAGGCGTAAAAAAAAATACCTGTGGTTCCGGTTTCATATCGTGAAAAAATTAGGGTCGGTAGGTCGGAAATAAATTTTTTTTGAATATTTTTTTCATAGTTTTGCCGGTTTTTTGCTGGGCAATTTGCAGTAGAGTCCCGACATCAATATTAACTAGAGATGCGTATTTCCTATGGACGAATTGAGGCAATTTGGTTCAATAATTAGTGTGACAACAGACGCCATTTTGGCACGCTGTATGAGCAGCCCGCAACCACCTGCAGAAAATAGGGTCGGTAGGTCAATCGCGTTGAAAAAATAATAGGGTCGGCAGAAAAAAATAGGGTCGGTCGGGAACCGGAACCACAGGTATTTTTTTTTTACGTCCTATGGATATAGTATCGAAATAGTATTGATATACTAATTGGATTTAGTGGTGCAGTTAAATTTCATAGTATGGATTTCACATTTTTCTCCCAGTGTCACTCGTTTGAATATTAGTTGGGGTATCGTAGCTAGATGGAAATTATCGAGTGGAAATTTATATTCATTTATTAGACCTAACCAGGAACAGCTGCGAAAAATGCAACTTTAGGTCCCTGGCAGAAATCAAACCTGCTGCCCTGCGATTTCGGTGCAGTGCTCTAACCACAAGTTCATGTATATATACTAGCCGGGTACTGCCATGTTAGGTTATGGGTAAATATCAAGATTTTGTTGCCATCTCACTCATTTGAATAATATTTGAAGGGTATTGTGTAGATGGAAATTATCGAGTGGAAATTTGTTACATTTATTATACAATTGCAGGGGCGAGGGCTGCAGGTTCTATTCCTGCCCGATAAGGGACCTAAAACTAACAAGACCCTACCTCGCACAAGTGTACATAAACATTGAAATGGTCAATTTGCATACCATGTTAAGTTGGTCTATCAAGGTTACGCAAACAGCAAAACATCTAATTTATCAATGAAAATACATGCTACGCCACCAAACAACAGAATAGAGACCTTGCGGAAGGCCGAAATCTTGGTTATGCCTATGATTTTGGCGTAACCATTGCACAATGATGTCACCATGTACCATGTATGTATTCAAAATGGTGGGCGATTGGGGGGGGGGGGGTAAATGCCTCTCATAAGCGCACAAGTTGGCTCGACAGATAGTGAGTGCATTTTGATGAGGAATCAATGCAACTCATGACGTGGCAGTGGTTAAACTTATTTGGCTGAGTTGGCTTTCTGCATGACTCTATTCTGTGACCTAAGTGCCACGTACCATGTCAGTTTAGTTTGAAAAGAGGGTTGGGTACTTACGTACTGTACCGGAGGTATGCTCCAGACTGTAAAGTATTATTTTTTGCGCGGGGAACTTTTCCGTCGTAAATGGCAGTTGTGTGGAAATGAAGGCAGAGCATTTGAGAAAATTTCGAAAATTTGAAGTCTCTAGATCGTCTGAAATGGTATTTTCAGTGTTTTCTCTTACCTCTTTTCGCATTAGGCCCAACACATAAGAGACAAAATAAATTATTAGTTCATAAAAAATATGCAGATTTTGTAGGATTTTCTTGTAAATGTGTGGTACAATTTGTTACTTATTTGTTTTCAACCAAGTACCACATACACTAGGTAGCTACAGTAAGCCCCCTAGAATGTCGCCCACCTTCACCGGGCACTAAGTGTGCCTCACCCCACACTTCTAGAGCCACTCTGACGTCTCTTGCTTACCAAGTCAAAGGTATTCAAAACCGTATATAGTTAACAGACTGTATAGATGTACGTCTGACATGTCTGGGCATGAAACATGACTGGACAGATGGGAATGTTGGAGCCAATTAATTCTTAACTAGTGTTTTTAAACATTAAAATGTTTTGTGTTTGTAATTGTCATCCTTCTCATTCTAACTTGCAGTTTCTGTTTCAGGTTACTGGATGAATACCTTTCAGAAACCTCAGTGTACTTCATGTACATCATTTTAAAGAGAAAGTAGAGCTTGAGTCTTAAAAGTTTGTACCAGCTCAGGTATGAGGCAATAGTCATTAGAGCATACATGTACCAGTTAGTACGTACAACTAAAAATCTTGAATTATGCACCCTAGCTTGTTGCTAGGGGTGCACCGGAACCAGTTTTTTAAGTTCCGGCCAGAATCGGATCCGACCGGAACTGGAAAAAAGTTCCGGCCGGAACCGGAACTAATATATTAAGCCATATATAGTCATATGTTACTTTGTCCGCTGCCAGACAGGCAGACACTTCAAGTCATCAAGGAGAGAGCTTGCAAATGTTAGAATAAAAAGATTGACAAACGTTAAACGCCATAATGAAGTGTTATAGTGTATATTTCCCTTGCGTAGTCCAAATTTCTTCCTACTGTGACCTTTTGTTAGACACAAAAACGTTTGATATTCTATCTCTCTGAAACAGACAGAGTTCCGGTTCCGGCCATGCTTATTTTACTAGTTCCGGCCGGAACCGGAACTCTAAAAAATCGGGGTTCCGGCCGGAACTAACCGGCCGGAGCCGAGTTCCGGTGCACCCCTACTTGTTGCCTGCACCTTGCAACACCTCAATCATCAATCCTAGAAAGGCAAGTTACAATGATAAAAAAGAATGCCATTATTACAGTACCTCGTCATTATCATTTTGTACATCCATCAGCTTCACGTTTTAAAAACACTCAATTCCATCTGTGAAAAATAATTATAAATTACATCATAAAAACATACAAAAATTGGTCCGTTTATAATTAACTATCTTTTGTTTATTTGTTCATTCCTATATAACTCTTGCAGATTCTAACAGACTTTTGTATATGGAAATTACCGGTGTGAATTCTATACATTTATTAGACCTATAACCAGGAGCAGTTGCGAAAAATGCAACCATACTATGCTAGGCTGGCAGGAATCAAACCTGCGGCCAGGGCTGCTCAAATTAGCATTAAATTAGCATCTGCCCAAAGTTCAGTGAATTCCAATAGGAAAATTTGAATTCCTATCGGAATTCCAATTGGTTCCAAATTTTGTGCACAATTTCGGCCAATTTCTAATAGAAAATCCGAATGGCATTTCGTTACTGGATTTTTTGCTAAATGAATTAATATGCAGATGAAAAATATAAAAAATCCTAATATATTTTCTAGGCCGGCCCAGGAGAATTCCTTGTGTCAGAAGAAGAAAGAATACAGTCTTGTTGGTGCTTTCTAAAACATACAGTAGGTTTAAACTTGGATAAACATGAAATAAATGTACATGCAATAAATATTACTTACAACTTAGACACTTTATAGAGGAAAACCACATTCAAAATCGGGAACACAACAGCCATATAATTGTAACAACATTGAAATTACATTAGAACTGAACTTTTAAACATACGTCCCCTTTTATAAAAACAATAGTGTACGTAATTGTGGCCGTTAATGCATGCACATAGTCACGATCATATTTTTATAACATTTTTATTCTTCCAGAATAGAAGGCACCACAATATAAAATGATTTATAAAAAACCTTTGTATTACAGGTAAATAGTTAAAGCGAGGAAACAGACCGTATAAATATAACAGACAATGGATATTTGATCCACATAAAATATGGCCATAATTTAATTGTCGTCGTGGATTATTTCGGCCCATGCACAAAATCATTTAGCCACCCTGCCAATAACAAATTCATTATTCCGTGCTAAAGATCATGTTTTTTTTTTCGTTGAAATACAAACAGCAAATAATATTACAGTAAATATAGTTCAAAGTCCAAAACGTTGACACATTTGGAAGCAAGACATACTATTTCTGAGAGACCCTTGGTTGTTTATATATAGAAACACACAGGTCAATACATACAGTATAAATAGTTGCAAGCAATCAAATCGCAGAACAGTTTTTAACCGCGAAATTATTGGTCAAAGCACTGATTTAATAGAATAATAGTGAACTTTTCTTCCCAGCGTGTGTACAATTTCATATTTGAAAAGCATTGTCTATCTGTGATCTGTCCATATGTGATATTAAATATACGATTTCGGTTGCACATATAATGCATATTATCAAAATATAGAACAGTAGTTACTTGTCGAATTCAGAAATTGAAATATGCAGTGTTCGTCTATTAAATACTGTTCGAATAATTATTGTAGTGTTATTATATTAATGATAGCAACAAACCTTGATTGTCAGTTCTTTGGACAAAATACGATACTGTAGAATGAAGACCAAACGTCTCTGTTTTAGTAAAATTTCAGCATTCCAAAGATATAAAAATTATACGGATTTAATAATCAAACTCAGGAAACAGTGAATTCGAATTTTTTTTCACTTTTATAGTTGTTTGATTGTTGAAGTAGTCTCAGGAAAACATCGCCCAAAGGTATATTCGTTGCTGCGTCGGAAACAGGTCGGAGAAGTGTTCAGTAATCAGTAGCCTGCGTGTCATAGAGCCTGACACGCAGGCTAAGTGTTCAGTAATTCCAGGTATATGCCGATCAGTCTATTAAGAGCGTGTGTCTCTAAAAACCGCCCACTGACTTGGGGCTCGAAAAATAAATTTCTTCGAAACTTTTACCGTGAACTACATTTACTTTACCAACAAACAAATGCTGTTTGGAATTTTCAAAATATATTTAGTTTCAAAGTTTTAGCGATTTTTTGGTCTCGCACCGTCGCGGGAGAAATTCGCCGGCTAATTAAACGAAAAAATGGGCTAAATTTAAATAAACATAATTTCAAAAGATTTTGTTCATAATTTCTGATATTCACACCCAGCACCAGAAAACTATCGTAATTTCATCTAAACTAACATAGGTTTTCAATTACAGAGCATTTGTGACAATATTTAGCGACAAAGAGCGCCATGTCAAAATACGGCTTTCAAATCCTACTATTTTCTACGCTGAATTTCTTATAAGTGGGACCTAATTACATACAGTGACTAGTATGGTTGGAAAAAGGACACTTTGAAGTACTAAAAACCGTAATAAAACTCGTCTGCAAACGCGATTTGAACAATTGAGAGCGTTTGAAATTTGATACTCTTTATGGCCTTTTGTTTACATTAGAATGTTGCTGAGGTCAGACGTCTGAGTTCTTGTCACTGCTAAAAATGCGCTGTAGTTCTGCCAAATAACTTTTTCCTCAAATAAGTTTATAGCAATATAGTACTAATCTATATTTCTTTGTTTATGTCCACCGTAAGTGGTTCCAAGGGATTTAAAATAATAGGCATGTTAAAATAAACAACTTGACCAAATATATTAATATGCTACTCGGGGAAAAGCCCGCATGCAGCGCGAATTCTATATGCAGGATACTAAACTATTGCTTAGTTCGAAAAGTCTACAAATGTGCGAAGTTTAGTTCTGGAACCTTTCTGCGAAGTTGATATTTGAATTATATCTGTGTTCTTTTAATGCTATCGGTTCAACTGTATACCCTCCGTATAGGGGTGAATCGGGTATTGGACGCTTAGAAGATTGTGATGAGAACATTCAAAACCATCTTTCAAGTTGCAGTTTGTCGAGATCTGATTTTAGCGAGCGCGAGCTGATTTTGAAAAGAGCGGAATTTTTACATGAAATATCAAGCGAAGAAATACGCTCTATGACAGTATGCCTAAACCACCGGTACAACTTGGGCCGATACTGGAGACCTCGTCTAACATGCCAACATCCTTCTCACACTGCGCCTGCTTTGCAGCGGCAAACCTGGATGTATCATGGGATGTATTCCACATTTATTGAGTACTTGTGCAAGTTGGTTCTCGTAAGTGATAAATATAGTCCAAATTAGAGATATATAATTGCATTGTTAATTTGTTATTGGCAATATAATTAGAGTTGCACCGCGAATAGGCCAGTGCGGCATTCGCATGGTAACATTGGAAATTAGAGGTATACTGTAGTATCACAGCGACATGCTGATAATTAGCTTTACTAACCCGAGTAAAAAGCTAATTATCAGCATGTCGCTGTGATACAGTATACCTCTAATTTCCAATGTTACCATGCGAATGCCGCACTGGCCTATTCGCGGTGCAACTCTAATTATATTGCCCATAACAAATTAACAATGCGATTATATATCTCTAATTTGGACTATATTTATCACTTACGAGAACCAACTTGCACAAGTACTCCATAAATTTGGAATGCATCCCGTGATACTTCCAGGTTAATGACATCTTTTCCTTTGCAGCGGCGTGTAGGCGCGTGTGAGAAGGATGTTGGCATGTTAGACGAGGTCTCCAGTATCGGCCCAAGTTGTACCGGTGGTTTGGGCATGCTGTCATAGAGCGTATTTCTTCCCTTGATATTTCATGTAAAAATTCCGCTCTTCTCAAAATCAGCTCGCGCTCGCTAAAACCAGATTTCGACAAACGGCAACTTGAAAGATGGTTTTGAATGTTCGATTCACCCCGACACCCTCCGCATACAGTAGAATCGATAGCATTAAAAGAACACAGATTATCCATACTAACTCCCAAATTTTACAGCAATATAATTCAAAGATCAACTTCGCAGAAAGGTTCCAGAACTAAACTTCGCACATTTATAGACTTTTCAAACTAAGCAATAGTTTAGTATGCTGCAACGCGAACTCTAAATCACACTAAATATAGCATGTGCCACATATACAGGGTGTATCAAAAAAAGTAAGACAATTTTGAAATTGCCCTCAATTCCACAATTCTGTTCATGAAATGTAATTTTTGCTATATATGGATTGCTTGAGTTCTTAAATTATGGAAAATATAAAAAAATTTGAAAATAGTAAATTTTGCTATCCAGGGGGGTGGTCAACTTTTGCTCTCCTAAAAGTGGCCTGCGCACGGAAATGACAAACGGTATTCTTTATTTGAGTTTATGTATGAAAAGTTCGCTATTTGTTACATTTGTGATAAAATTTCGGCAGGATTTTACCGAGTACAAATCCTCCGAAAAGCCTATGAAAACGTTACATTTTTCTCTGTTGGTGCTGTTCTTGCTTCATTATGAATTCATTTTTACTCCCATGAGAGTTCCGTGGAATTTCCATGGAATTTGTGCTTTCGAGTTGTTTGTGCTGAAACGCATTTTCTCGTATAATACGCATTTTCTCGTATAATATCCAGATGTACGATGCCCTTCACGTGCGAATACGTGAAGGGCATCGACCGCATCGTACATCTGGATATTCGTTCGTGAAACTTTGGCGAACCAAGTTTATGTTGTTGCTACGGAGGAACTCTGATACCATAAAAGCTCCCTGCTGCGGAGTAAATTGTGGCATCGCCATTTCAAAGTGTACGGGGGTATTATACGAGAGAATGCGTTTCAACACAAACAACTCAAAAGCACAAATTCCATGGAAATTCCACGGAACTCTCATGGGAGTAAAAATGAATTCATAATGAAGCAAGAACAGCACCAACAGAGAAAAATGTAACGTTTTCATAGGCTTTTCGGAGGATTTGTACTCGGTAAAATCCTGCCGAAATTTTATCATAAATGCAACAAATAGCGAACATTTCATACATGAACTCAAATAAAGAATACCGTTTGTCATTTCCGTGCGCAAGCCACTTTTAGGAGAGCAAAAGTTGACCACCCTCCTGGATAGCAAAATTTACTATTTTTAAATTTTTTTATATTTTCCATAATTTAAGAACTCAAGCAATCCATACATATAAAAAAATACTTTTCATGAAAAGAATTGTGGAATTGAGAGCAATTTCAAAATTGTCTTACCTTTTTTTGATACACCCTGTAGTACTTTCGGACCTTGGCTTGGCCTTGGTTCCGAGTTTGAAACGAACTGCAAAATGCCTTTTCGGCAAAAATAGACTTATGCAATACTCATGCCCTGGTCAAACGAGAACAAGAGTTGCATGAGAGTTGACTGGATAATACCGTTCAAACAAACAAAAATTCTCGTCATGATCAACTCTCATCAAAATTTGAACTATACTTCAAAGTTGATGGTCTGCAGGATGACAGTTTATGAGAGTTGGCTGTCAAACGCGAGCGAAATTAAGTTGAAACTCTCTTCAACTCTCGTTTGACCGGGGCTTTACTAAACATCCCTGACCTGGCAGTCCAGCTGAATAGCTGGGGTCATATACATGATAAAATCTGCCTAATTAAAAATGTGATTTCAGCCGCGCCGGAAATTTTTAATCGGCTCGTATTTGCCTGATTTCAGGTCAATTGTGCTTTTTGAAATAATACAAAAAAGTGTCATTCAAAAGCTAAACCCCTAATTGTTATTAATATGGAAAAATTAAATCTGTGCACTCAATATTGAGGGCACAAGAGCACACTAAAGATGGATTACCCTTTTTATATACACCCTGCATGCATTTACATGCAACAACAGCTTACAGCTATATAAATTTTGGCGTGGCCATGCCTATATTTCAGCATTTCTCAAGTATGACCATGTGACATGTTGCAATGCTTTCGCACTGATCAAATGGCGGCACTCGCAGTTTAATATCCGGTGCACACTGAAATTTACTACTGTTTATATCAGATCTTCAACAATTATTACGATTTAGTGATTTAAACACCAGGTTTCCTATGGCAGCTTTTCCATCCAAATTAGAAGTGCAGGAAGATTTATCTTCATTGCAAAATTCGATAATACAAAACAATACAGATGTTATCGTTAGCTTGAAACGAAAGTACATGCAGTATGTACCATCTGAGCTGTTCAAATATGGCCCTTCACTAAAACGTGATTTTTTATCAACGTGTATTTTACCGAGATATCCCAAGTAATATGGTGCCAATCAAAACAACTGGTAATGGGGATTGTCTTTTCAACTCTTTCTCAATTTGTTTGATGGGAAATGAAAATTTAAGTGGAGTACTTCATCTCCTTACAATAGTCTAGGACCTGTATACGAGTTTGTATGCATTTCATTTAAGACAGATAATCTCAACTGTTTTAGGGTAAGTTGACCATGACGGTCAACATGGTAATACTGCCCGAACCCCAATCCGGGGCGAAACATCTGAAACTGACCACACCCAAAAACGACACTTTTGCCATACTGCTATCTACCAAACCATAAAAGCTTTGGCTATTCTGAGGTGCTTATATGGTTCAGAGATGGTACTTTCGGGGATGGTCATTGGTAAGTGTGAAATGCCTAGCACTAATATTTCACAAGAAAATGACCATGCAATAATCATAGTTAAACATCCATTTGTGGCTTGCAACTTCAGATAAACAGCAGTGGACTTACATTACCTCTTTCCCTAAATCTTCTTGATAGAAACATAATTGGTACTTATTTAAATATATTATCACTGGTTTGGTGTAAAATAGTTAATATTTTCTGACCGAAATAATTAATTTGAAATGTGTTTATCTGTTGTTTATCGGCGATCTCATCGACATCCTACAAAAAATGTAGATCATCTCAGACATAATGTTTCAACTTGGTTTCAAGTAGATCATACCTGGTTAACCATCGACAAGGTAAATCCACAACTTTGTCCAAATTCGGCGCCATTTTGTCATCCCATGTTGCTTGTTAACAATTCAGCCTTGTTACTCTTCCATCCAAGCCATTTTCATTCCACTAATAATAAATTTAACCCTTTATAACAGGAGGAAACTAAAAAATCTAAACAAAATATAAGAAATACGCCATTTTATCACCATGTAAAATTTTGCTCACGAGTCTTTCAAAACATTCCATACAAATATCGCGTGACAAAGTAACAGGGACGTGACAGGAGCGGGTGAATTATTTCACGAAGATAGAAGGCTGCGTGAAACAGACTAAAAGCTAAATACAATCATACAAATGTTTGTTTTATTTCTTGCAGCGACAAATATATACATATTATTTATTAATATGAAAAAGTCATACAAATTAAATGTTGATTGTTGGTTTGACCATACTGTGTGGGCTTTCCTTTAATTTTTCAAGTCTCTACCCCCCCTGTCACATCCCTGTTGCTAAACCACGCGAGATTTGTATGAAATGTTTTGAAGGACTCGCAAACAACATTTTACATGGTGATAAAATGGCGTATTTCTTGTATTTTGTTTAGATTTTTTAGTTTCCTCCTGTTATAAAGAGTTAAATTTATTATTAGTGGAATGGAAATGGCTTGGATGGAAGAGTAACAAGGCTGAATTGTTAGCAAGCGACATGCGATGACAAAATGGCGCCGAATTTGGACAAAGTGGATTTACCTTGTTGATGGTTAAACAGGTATGATCTACTTGAAACCAAGTTGAAACTTGTTTAAAATGTTCTTGATACCATTATGTCTGAGATGATTTACATTTTTGTAGGATGTCGACGAGATCGCCGATAAACAGCGGAGTAAAGTGGAGAACTTGGCCAAATACGTCCATTTGCAGGAGGTAGGCACATTTCGAATTATTATTTCGGTCAGAAAATATTAACTATTTTACTCCAAACCAGTGATAATATATTTAAATAAGTACCATTTATGTTTCTATCAAAAAGATTTAGGGAAAAAGGTAATGTAAGTCCACTGCTGTTTATCTGAACTTGCAAGCCACAAATTGACGTTTAACTATGATTATTGCATGGCCATTTTCTTGTGAAATATTAGTGCTAGGCATTTCACACTTACCAATGACCACCCCCAAAAGTACCATCTCTGAACCATATAAGCACCTCAGAATAGCCAAAGCTTTTATTGTTTTATTAGATAGCAGTATGGCGAAAGCGTCGTTTTTGGGTGTGGTCAGTTTCGGACGTTTCGCCCCGGATTGGGGTTCGGGCAGCGTTACCATGTTGACCTTACCCTAAACCAGTTGAGATTATCTGTCCTAAATGAAATGCATACAAACTCATATACAGGTCCTCGACTACAATTGTCGAAATATATCAGAATTCAGAATTCTATGCAAACCATCGCAGGTATTGTATTGCGTTTCGTTGCACAGTAAAAACCCGCATAAAAGACCACTATTTTTTATGTCAGGCTGAAGTGGTTCTTATATAATCTTAGCTACTTCACACTATACTTTTTTTTTTCTATTCTACACTTTAATAGGGACTGTTGTTGCATAAAACTATGTATTGCTATGACACCAATATGGTTCTCATTACCTATATCTAAACTAAAAAAAAAACTTTTAAAAACTTGTATTTTGAGTGCTTAATTGCCTAAATTTCAAGCTGGTAGTTCTTAATCCACTGGTTCTTTTATTGGGGTTTTTACTGTATATTGTGTAAAATACGTTTAATATCCGTATATATGTATCCTACAGTCTTGTCAACAACAAGTCTTTTATATCAAACTAAATGCTAATTTACATAAACTGTCATGCTATATGTGACATCTCCCATTCTTTCTTTTTTTTGCTATTTTTTTTCATGCATAGTTCCTAACTATTAAACAATTCAACTGGTGTTCAAGTCCGAACTAAAGTTTCTAAAATATCCTAATTATACTAAATTCATCTTATACTATATATATACATTCCTTTATACTTAACTAGATGTTCTCAATCAATCGGGAAGGTGCCCTTCGAACTCTTGTACTTCTTCTCAATGGTGTTCGTACGTGTTCTTCCTCTATTTCTGTACTCGGGAATATAACTGGAGAACGAACTGGTGAACGTACGGTACTCGGAGCTATACCTGAACAACGTTCTTCTTCGCCGACAGGTTCCATTGGTGGTGTAATAATCATTGGTGGTTCGTTAGTTGGCATTAGATGCTGGCGATTTCTGCGTAACTGAGTTCCATTTGAAGTTGCCACAATGTACGAACGAGGTGATTTATGTTGTTCAACGACCACGGCTGGATTTCATACGCCTCCCTGTCGAATCCTCACCGACTCGTTTGGCTGTAAACTGGATAACTGTTTCGTTCCCTGATCATATGCTGCTTTCTGACGCAATTGACGTACTCTCAATCTCTGGCGAACATCGTTGATTGGCTGTGACTTAGGTTTAAGAAGATGCTTAGGAATTGGTAACTTAGCTCTCAATTTTCTACTCATCAACAGTTCTGCAGGCGATTGTTTCATACCACTAATTGGAGAATTATGGAACACCAACAAGGCTAAAAATGCATCTTGTTTCGAATCATTTGATTTTTTCAACAGACGCTTAATTGTCTGAACGTTTCTTTCCACGAGCCCATTTGAACGCGGATAGTGTGGGCTGCTTGTCACCACATCAATTTCCCACTCTCTAGCAAAGTCTCTAAATCTAAGGCTGTTGAAAGGCATATTATCAGCTATAATTTTTTCTGGAATGCCATGACGGGCAAACATTTCTTTCATTGCCAAGATGACGGCTTCACTATTCTTGTGATTTATCCTTGTTACTTCAGGATACTTTGAGAAATAATCGACTACCAATAAATAGTCTCTTCCTTTATAATAAAATATGTCCGCTGCAACGGTTGACCACGGCCTCTCTGGAATTTCCTGCGGCATCAACGGCTCCCTCTGATTCCTTCGCTGAAATTGTAAACATGTTCTGCATTCTGACACCATTTCATCAATTGCACTATTCATTCCAGGCCAGAACACTGAACCTCTCGCCCGTGCTTTACACTTCTCGATTCCCAAATGAGCTGCATGTATCCGATCCAGCATTTCTGGTCTAAGAACATGTGGAACAATTACACGATCTCCTTTAAACATCAAGCCATCATAACCACTTATTTCATCTCTGTAACTCCAATAAGGTCGAATTTCTAAGGGCGTTTCAGGCTTTGTCTGTGGCCAACCATCCATAACTACTCTGTGCAACTGCTGAAGTTCAGCATCCTTCTTGGTCTCCTCAACCAACTTCTCAAACATAGTCTCTGACATCTGACCCGATTCCAGAACATTGACTTCAAATTCATCTGATGGATCGTTTATCTGTGCAGACATCTGTGATCTAGAAAGAGCATCTGTTATCAACAACTGACTCCCAGGCGTATATTTCACTTTAATCGCATAAGGTTTAAGTCTAAGTATCATTCTCTGCAATCTAAGCGGAGCTTGATGGATGGATTTCTTTAGTATTGCTTCTAACGGTTTATGGTCACTTTCCACGATTACTTCGCGTTGCCCGTATAGGTATTGATGGAAATGCTCACAACCATAAACTATTGCAAGCATTTCTTTTTCAATCTGTGAGTAGTTCTGCTGACATGAAGTTAACGCTTTCGACGCATACGCTACTGGACGATCATTTTGAAGAAGCACTGCACCCATACCTTTCGAGCTGGCATCAACCGACAAGCACACGGATTGTTTCTGATCAAAGAATTTGAGGACTGGTGGATCGACAATCGCTGCCTTTAAAGTTGTAAACGCTTGTCTTTGCTCTTGATCCCAAACCCATTCGACATTTTTCTCCAGCAACTGACGTAGTGGAGCTGTTATCTGTGCCATATTTGGAATGAACTTGGCAACATACGTAACAATGCCCAAAAATCTCTTCAACTCTTCGCAATTTGTAGGCTGCGGCATCTCCTTAATCACTTCAATTTTCCGGGGGTCTGGTTTCAGTCCATCTGAACTCAAAACATGGCCAACATAACTTACTTCGGGGACACGAAATCGACACTTCTCTGGATTCAACTTAAGGTTTTTTATCTCGACAGCGTTCTAAGACCAAACGAAGTCGTTCGTCATGTTTCGTCACGTCTTCTCCCCAGACCACCAAATCGTCCACGATAACTTCGACTCCTTCTATATCTGAAAACATATTCGACATAATACTCTGAAATACTTCCGGAGCAGAAGCTATTCCAAACGGTAATCGTTTATAACTATACCTTCCAAATGGAGTATTAAACGTGGCTAAGTTACTGCTTTCATTGGCCAATTTCACCTGCCAGAAACCATGGTTGGCATCAAGAACACTAAACACTTTGGCATTGGGCATTCTGCTGACAACTTCTTCAACGGTCTGCATAGGAAAATGCTCTCGCATAACCACTTTATTTAAATCGCTAGGATCCATGCAGACTCGAATTTTATTATTTGCTTTTCTGGCGATGACTAAACTATGTACCCAAGCGGTGGGTTCATTCTTTTTCTCAATAACCCCCAACTTCTCCATTCGACGCAACTCTTCTTCTAGTGGCTTTCGGAGGGCCATAGGAACTCTTCGAGGAGGATGCACCACTGGAATGGACACCGGATCAATCTTAATCTGGTACTGAACATCTTTAATCTCTCCCAGACCTTCGAAAACGTCACTGAATTCTGTTTCGATCTTCGGTGGGTCCACTTCCAAGCTATAAACTCGCTTTACCAGCTCGAGTTCTAGACAGGATTTAATCCTAAAATCGATGGTAGATCTTGTTCAACTAGTACAAAGTCTAACACGGTAAATTTGCCTTTATACTCGCACTCTAAGCTGACTTTTCCTTTCGGAGTTATCTTACGGCCATTGAACATCTTCAACTTGCTCTTATTTTTGAAAATTCTTGTATTTGTTAGTGACAATTGCTCAAACGACGATTGCGAAATCACATTACAATCTGCCCCTGTATCTAATTTGAAATTCAAATCCGTTTTTCCAAACTTAAGCTGGACATGCCAGTCATTCTTTGAGCTGCCCTCGTTATTTGACTCTACTGAAAATGTCAATAAATCATCCTCGCTAACTTCGCCGTCTTCGAATTCCCCCAAGACATTCACTTCTCTCGGTCTAGAGTCACGTTGTCGTTGCTTCGCTCGACACACACGCTCAAAATGTCCTGTCTTACAATAGTTGCATGTTTTGCCGAATGCCGGGCAAGATCTTAATGCGTGAACCATACCACAGAATCCACACTTTTCGGACTTTGTTTTTTCACGGCGGCTACCTATCTGCCCTTTTCCTTGATTGGCGTCATATCGAAGAACATTTACCGACTGATTTGCTTCGCTCGACTGCGCCCTAGCATTCATGACTTTAATCTGTTCCTTCGACGCTTCGGCTGCTCTAGCCATACTTATAGCTTTTTCCAGTGTAAGTTTCTCTTCTCTTAACAATCTTTCTTTCACAGTTAAGTCTTGTATACTAAACACAAACTTGTCCCTTACCATATCGTCAACCGATGTATATTCGCACGATTTTACTTTGTTCTTTAATCTTGTGACAAATTGGTCAACCGTCTCTGAATCTCTCTGCGTAATTTTCCAGAACTGGTATCTCTCGAAGACTACATTTTTTCTGGGGTTACAATACCTTTCAAACTGTTCGATAACCTTATCCAATTTCTTATCATCGCCAGCAGAAAACTCGAAAGTATTGAAAACTTCTATAGCATCTTCGCCGGCAAAATTTAACAATATGGCTATTTTAATCGGGTCGTCTTTGTCTTCGCATCCCGACGCGACTAAATATATCTGAAACTGCTGCTTAAATCGTCTCCAATTTTCTGATGTATTTCCGTCAAAACTTAAAGCACTCGGCTTGTGAAAGCTATCCATAGTATCCCACTCCTGACACCATGTAAAATACGTTTAATATCCGTATATATATATATCCTACAGTCTTGTCAACAACAAGTCTTTTATATCATACTAAATGCTAATTTACATAAACTGTCATGCTATTGAGATTGATTGAAAAATCTATAATAATTTGTGAAAACAACGGAAAGAGAATAACATGACGAGCCTTAAACTAATCTGGTGTTGGGAGGGGCGCGGGGCTGGCTCACATGCTCCACATCTATTAGCTAGCTCCGTCCCTCCTGGATATGGATTGTTGCATGCCCGTTTGCTTTCATATAATTGTATGCGTACTGCAGCGTGGGGATTTCCCCTTGTCGATAACACGGTAACTGTAACTGATTTAAAGTTTGTCTTCAACTTACATTTATTTTTCATGACAGATTCAACGAGGTAGAAATGAGTTACAGTAAAACTTCTTTGTTTGTTATGTCCTTGTCAGTGGACGTTTCAAATGGGGACAACGCAATGGAATGCTTACGACAGCAGGTTATTCATACCTGTTATCCTGGAAATTGGTCTGGACTGATCCATATGATGGCATTATCATCTGTAATTAAGCGTCCAGTTTTCTCGGTTTACCCGGAATCAAGCCCAGCCATACATCCTTTTTTTCATGGATTAATACGCCCACGAGATGCAGGGTCAAGCATCTGTAATGATCTTGTACACATTATGTTCACAAGGGATTGTTTGCTTGACAATAGACAGGGTGCAGTTTTTCAACCAAACCACTTTTGTCCTGTGTTTCAAAGTGGCAACAGTGATGGTATCGCTTTTCATGGGAGCGGTGCTAGTTTTCAAACGTCTTCATTTGTCCCAGATGTCCAGTCAACGAAAGAGTTTCCTCCACTAGGTTTCGAAAATAAAGATAAAAAGAACGACATACGCTCTTTTTTTTAAATATCCAAAAAAGAAGACTGCGCGTAAAAATACATTTTCACAGATAAATGACAAAATTCATGGTAAAGATGAAAATGATTGTGTTTCCACTGGAACGTCCATGTCTAATTTTAAGACCTTATCATTCAGTAAAAAATGTGTCGATGGTAAAAGCCCGTCAATTGAACATTTTGACACATTACCAGAACTCTCTACAAAATATCTTTTGCAGTTGTGGTACCACAGACAAGGACTAGCATGCTTACACGAAACCAAAAGTAGAGAATGGTATCTTTCCCTTCCAGGACTTTCACGAGATTGGTACAGCAATGCATCAAATAGAAACGAGTCGATACCAACATTGGAGAACTCTGCTGAATTGTTCGAATTCAACAACGGAAACATAATCACCAAATCGAAACCATTTCAAGAGGACGTAGAAGTTCAATTAACCTTAGAAGTTCTATCAGCTCATTGGTACGCCAGACGTGGCCGGCTAGCTGCAAAGAACTGGGGACGATTGTCCAGAAATGAAAGACAAGAAAGTGCCGGTGGATTGAAATTCGGCAGTGCCAAGGGTTCAATAGACGAGAACATAAAAAATATTTTAAGTGAGCAATCTAAGACAACACGATGCACGAGAAGATCTGAACTGCAACGTTTGCTTGCTGTTGGAGAAACCATTAAGTCAACAGCAATAATTTCGACCCAGGACGCCGGGAAGGTGTACAATACAGCAAAGAACGGAAGACAAAACTTGAAAAATGTGAGGAAGATGTCATCATATTGGTTTAGTTATTTTGGCAAATATTTTAACATAGCACAGTTTTATTTAAAAGGAAAAGCATACATTATGGAGAATAGAAATCAGTATTTTGATGCTATTGTGCAACAGTTGCAAAACATTGTTGAATCAAATCAGTATTGCAACAACCAGATTGAGAGACAAATAGGAGACGTTTTCAAAAGTGCGTTGCAGCTAATGGATACGAAAAGAGACAAAGACATAGTTAAGGGACTATTCGCTCATGCCACAAGTGTGAAATTTGTTTCTAAAATTCAAAAAGTGCAAAACAAGTCAGCCATCATGAATTGCAGGGATGAGCTTAAGGGAAATATTGAAATTTTTAAAAATATTCAAGAAACATCTCAGGTGGTACGTAACGACATGACATGTAGCCAGGGGCGCACATTAGGGGGGGTGCCAAACCCCCCCAATAATTGATAATCATAAAAAGTCAGTCCCGATCACCATAGCGAGTCTGTCCCAATGTCATGCTACGACCGGATGTTCATATACAGATTACACAGAAACAAATGCTGCGCGTTGACACTTGACACCTAGATTCCTATTACATATGCTCGGTGTTTACATGTTATGCGAACGCGGTATAGCTTGCGCAGGCTGCCATAGGCGTGTTGGTGTTTGAAATATAATATAACAAGACAGACAAAGCCATGAAGTTCTTGCTAGAACTCAAAATGTAAAAAGAATGTTGCAATAACTCAATCAAGTTATAAGGTACGCAACAATACCTATTGTTGTTATGTTATTATGCTTTTATTTACCGAATTTGTGACTTCTTATTTACTCATAATGTGAACGTGAAACTTTATAGCGATCGCTATTGTATTTCGTTTTGTTTAGATGCGAAGATGCCAAACACACGATATAAAATCACTTGTGGTTTGTGTGGAAAAGTGTTCGATAGTGATTACAAAGCAAAGCACTGTAAAACCACACACCCGAATTATACTGCAAGCACATTGCCACTCCGCACCAAGAATCAAACTCAGCTGGTATTAATTATTTAAAATGCAATTTAATATATTTTTATGTTTTCAAATAATCTTACAAATTGTCGAGTAATACTGTAAGGCCTTAGGCCTGGTTTATACAACGTGTTATGAGCGCGCTGTACGTCTATTAATTCGGTAATAGCACACTGTATAAATAAATCAAATTAGTTCGCCGTTTAATATCTTTGCCGTCTGAATTAAGTTTGCTTAAACTGCAGTCTGCATTGACTTAATATCGATAAATATAATTTAGGTTTTTGGTACGGAAGATTCCAAAGGCAGTTCAGCATCGATTCGTTTGCAGAAAGGGGTGTCTAAACAGGTTTATATTATTTAACTTTATTTTATAATTGAAAAGATTTTCTGAACAAAGCATTATCTTCCAATTTTAAAGGAAAATAACTTTTACAATGTGTAACACCTTGAACCGTCGCATTATAAAATTTATATGCTTGCATAGATAGTATTAGGAGATAATTCCATGTACATTTCTGTCACAGGCAATTGTATGTGGACCTGCTACAGATGTCTTGGTCAGTGATCCCAATGTACCAACATCAAGTGGAGCATCTACCACGGAAAAAGTATGTAGTAGTCTGTAGTCATGATGAAATATTTCTTTGCACGTTATTTTTTTGTTATTCAAAACATTCATTATTCATAGTTTCCATACGGTATCGTGTGGATATTATATAAAACATATGCACTATAACTTAAGCTCTCAATCATGACCATTACATTTACAGGTTTCAATCTCTAAAAGATCATGGACGGAACCAGAGGAGGAATATAACCCAGAAAAACGTATCCGAAGCAACAATCCATTAATATTCCGGCCTCAGACGAATCAGAAAAAACACTGGTATGCTCACACACTTTATTGCCTTGATTCTGACTGTAAATAATGGACAGAAACACAGTAACTTAACAATTACGTTCTTTTATTTGTAGGAACCTGTTAAAACAAACGAGACGCCAGAACCCGTTGAAACAAATGAGATGCCAGAACCCGTTAAAACAAACGAGACGCCAGAACCCGTTGAAACAAACAAGACAACCATTACTTGGATATCCTGCTTTGGAATGCTGCAACACCTTTGTAGCAATTTGACAGATTGCCAGGAATTAATCTCTAAGGCAGAGAAAATAGACGCCCCCCAGCCAGAAAATCTCCTTGGTGAGCTCCTCGATGTGGTCGAACGTGTAAACCGCTTGTCTTCGTCTTTGTTATCGGATACAAACCAAGCATTGAGGCACATTAATCTGGAAAATGAAGCTTCCGTCTTCTCTTCAACGGAATTTACTCCAATCGACCGTGATCCAGGTTGTAGAAGGGACATCATAACTAACGAAGACAGGGTATGCATGATTAAACAAGGTCCTTTTCAACCAAAATTGTCAAGATATCCCAGAAACAGCGATATTCCTCCACCAAAGCACTCTCATTTCTCCTCCGAGTGGTTCAACACATATCCACATTTGGAGTACTCCATTAAGAAAGATGCTGCTTTTTGTTTTGTATGTCAGCTATTCCCATCTGCTCCTGGCTGTCGCAAGTCTGAGTCTGCATGGACACTTAATGGTGTGCGAGCTTGGCATAAGCAGCATTTAGCAGCTCTAGCCATCGAGAGACCCTTAAAGCATTGCTTGCTTTCCAAAATAAGTCCAACCACGTCGACGTTATGCTGGATAAAGATTGCAGGAAAGCACTGATTGAAGAAGAGGCTGAAACGCAACGTAACTGCGAAGCCATCAAGACACTTTTGGACGTTGCAAGAACTCTTGCACGCCAAGGAATATCTTTCCATGGTTCGTCGAATGAAAAAGATGGAAACGGAAATTTCCAGCAAATTGTTGGTTTGGTGGCCAGGCAGTCCCCTTCATTTAAGAGATGGCTCGATGATGCCGCAACGCGCCCACACAGAGTTAACTACCTCAGTTCCAGGTCACAAAACGAGTTTTTAACTTTGTTAGCTGGAAATGTTTTGGATAGAGTCGTTGCTCAAATTAACGAAGCTACAATGTTTTCTGTCATTGCTGACACAATGCCAGATGTTTCTCACGTCGATCAACTCTCAGTCGTTGCGAGGTACGTCGATAAAGATGGAATCCCACAAGAACGTCTGGTTGATATCAGGGAGCTCCATGACAAGACTGGAGAAGGCCACGCTCAAGAAATTATTTTTTCATTGAATGCGAAGTCTGTTGATACAAATGGAATAGTTTTCCAGTCATATGATTATACCTCATCGATGTCAGGCGTTTTCAAAGGTTGCCAAGCCAAGATGAAGGAGCATCTGGAGAGAGAAGTTCCTTATTTCCCATGTCTCGCCCATCGGTTCAACACTACTGTTGAGCATAGCTGTGAAGCAAGTGTAGCTGTGTGCAAATTGTTCGAAATCCTGCAAGAGTTGTATGTCTTCTTCACGTCCAGTACGAAAAGATATGGTGTGCTTGGCGGAAAAGTGAAAGAAAGCGAGTATGGAAAAGCGCTGGAATTAAGAAATTTGTCAGCAACGCGTTGGAGTGCCCGTGCAGATTCGATAAGGGCTGTATGGTCAAGTTTTCAAGAAATAATCGAAGCTCTTGAAGAATTGGAAAATTCAGCTGACACGAAAACCAAGGCAAAGGCAGGGATTCTTCTCGACAGGGTTAAATCGTTTGAGTTTATTGTTATGTTGATGTTTATGAGGAACATTATGATAAAAACTAAAATACTGACGAAGCAAATCCAAAGTGTTGACATAAACATAATTGATACGCTTGAAGCTGCTAAGGCAACAATATCTACACTACGCCACTTACGTGAAGATGAGGAAAACCTGAAGCAGCAAATCAGTGCATCCGTAGCTTTTTCAGAACGCCATGGAATTGATCTTGTTGCTGAATATGACCGCCACCATCGACCCAGGCGTCCGTCAAGGAGAGCTGATGAAAGACCAGAGACAGCGACAAATCTACCACTTCAGGATTTTTACCGAAAAGAATTTGTCCAAGTCCTAGATGTTCAGATAAATGCTCTTACAGATAACGTTCAAGTTGCCTGTGATATTGTCGCCCCTGCTATTCGACTCCTTCTTCCTCCATTTAACAGTGATCCTAAACTAGAAGATGTAAAGTCCCTTACGATGATGCTCCCAGAATCAATCCGCCCTGATAACGAGGTTCTATGTGTTGAACTAACGTTGTTCAGACATCACTGCCAAAACAACAAGGGGGAAATCACAACCATCAGAGAAGCAGCACGTTTTGCGATGGAATGTGAAAGCATCTTTCCCCTGACAAGCAGATGCTACCGTTTAATTCTAACGGCACCGATAACATCGGCTGCAAGTGAACGCAGCTTCTCCAAGTTGAAGTTAGTCAAGACAGTGATGCGCTCAGTCATGAACGAAGACAGATTGAAAGACTTCGTGATTCTTAGTTCAGAAAAGGACTTGTCTGACTCAATTGATTTGGATAGACTTGTGGATCACTGGGCAGACGTTCCTAAAACAAAGCGCCTTATAAACGTTTAAGACTTTATGTATATACAAAGGGAACATTGAACACATCAACGTTATTTATATTGTGAGTTTATAGTATATTTGCCGTTAATTTTAACGACAGAGGTTAACACTGTTAAAATGAATTAAACACCTACCATGACATTGTACTATGACATCATTTTTTTTGTACAGAATTGTTTTTTGCGAAAACAAAATGTCGGTCCCTGATTGGCCCAACCCCCCCCAGAAATTCCCAGTTATACTCGGAATGTGCGCCCCTGCATGTAGCCAGCAAAGACGATTGCTGAATAGAATTGTTCAGGCAAGGAAAGATAAGGAAATGAAACTGAAATTAGAGAGCAGAGGGAGAATGATGAAAAAGCAGAAGAATGGCCAGAACTTTGTAAGGCAATGGAATATATATTTGGAGAATTTGACCAAAAAGAAAAATCAGGTGGAGGTTTAGAGGCTCATCCAAGACTGAAGAATGAGGTAATGTTTAGGAGCGTGGACAACAATACATTTATGACGCAAGCATTACAAATTATAAACGCTCTTTCTCTGCCATCTTTCAACATATCTTTAAGCTCCTGCTATAATTACACCATGACATATAAACAAAACACAGCAAGCGCCAAACGACACCACCATGGAAAAAATGTAAATGCTAATATTTCCTTACATCATCCGCCCAAGACTCTTGTAAAAAACTTAGTGGTAAACCTTCATTACAGCACTGCCAATGTCAATTATATTTTGTTGTTGACTCAAAAGACGCCAAGAAAATTGTATGCGCTGAGATAAGTCCAGTTCAAAAACCAAGAAGAACCTGGAGTGAATTTGAATACCCAGACCACGACTGGGACCAAAGTCGAACTAATGCAGTGACTCCTATGACCCATTTGCTTATGAATACGGTGATTACAAAGCAACAGTTTGTTCCATCAAACCCTTCATTACATAACTGGGATATAACTTTGCCCAATTCAGACACTATTATTCATGTCACTCGCTCTGGAAAAGCAGTAACGTTTCTGAATCCGTCGCTACTTGAGCCAGATACAACTATAAGACTTTTTAACGAAATTTTTCTTCTTTTGTCGAAGCCCAATTTGGATTTTGTTTTTCGTAATCCTAAAACAGGTCGACTTAAAAGTGTTTTTGTTTTTATTGTTGATAACGGTCCGGCAGAACAACCATCATCCCCCCTAGTACAGATGTTTTTAATACGGCTGCTACGAATCTTGGACCTCGATAAGATCACACAGGTTTCGTTCGCAGAATATCATAGTAAGCGCAATTTTGTTGAACGAGTGCACGCAATTGAAGATGAAGCTTTGTCACGACATGGACCTTTTACAGCGAACAAAATTTTTAATGACCGAAGCATCCACCCAGGTTCTGAAAAACATATTGCGAACATGGAAGAAATGGTAAAAGATGTATCATCCTGCCTGCAGCAAGCCAAGTTTGGAGGGAAAAGCCTTGAAGCATGTAGGGGAATAAAAGATTCCGATTACATTTTTTCTGATGAAAACAAACAAAAACAGTTTCTGTTACTATCTGAGGTACAAAAAGAAGTCTGCGATTGGACATATGAATTGAATAAAGACGGTCTTGTGTGGCGTGACGTGGAAGCTGTCTGGAATTTGTCGCACAGTGAACAATACACATACTTGGAAGATTATAATTTTTTGATGAATAAACTAGAATACAGAACAGCATGGATAGACAAGTACCATGTGACATTTTACAGGCCTAATAATCTGTGGATAACTGATCATAACGCAAGGCAAGAGCTACAACCAATACCAGATTATGTGAGATGGATTACTACTGGGGGAGAGCTGCATTATTTATCACACGAGCGAGTTCTTGCGATGAAAGGTGAATGGAACGAATGCTCGGGATTGTTTAGACCTGATAGACTGTTAGATAATCTGATCTCTTTTAATTCAGATCCTCCTTTTTATATCTTTCCCACAGTAGCGGCACTCATTTAGTTGCCTGAGAACGAAGTGAGACAGTATTATGAAGATCAGCATGCGAAATGACTCGCATGCCCCTACCATAACATTAATCTAATTTTTTTTTTAATGTAAATATTTATATGTTATAATATATGGGCAATAAAAAGAAGACATTCGCACAAGAAAAAGGAATGTTTTTGTGCATATCTCACACCGATTCATGTTTGTGCTTATGCTTTCATTTATTTCTTCGTCAGGACAAAGCTTTAAATCAGTCATGTTTTTGCTCACTACTTGTACACTACAAGTAGGAGGGCCAGCCCTCCCTCTTGCGTTTATATGGCAAATTTCTAGCCCTACTATAGGCGAGATCTTGAGTAGTCAATAGCAAGACCTCGCCTAGGAGGGCTGGCCCTTCTGATATAAACGGCTTAATCATGAAAATTGTTTAGTTTTTATAAGTATACACGTTATTCAAATTTTCCTATTCCCATGGAATTTCCATTGTCAAATTTTGACCTACCACTTGGAATTCCAGACATTTTTTTCGGGGGGGTTATTGGAAATTCCGCATGTCCTCAATAGGGGGGGTGCGGATTAATAATGCGATCAGCCAATAGGCTTGTAGCAATCAGCAATGTAACTATTATTCATATTCACATATTGTTTTATAATATATATATACTATGTGGGTTCAAACATGCTTTCTCCAGTTTTGTCAAACAGATGGCAAGTGCAACCCAGTATTTACTATGATGTGTTAATCCAAAATTTGAATTGTTGATTTTAACTAATATTTGACGGCATTGAAATGAAATAATTCAATATATAAAACCTCGCGCGTGCAAATTCAAATTTTAGCAATAGCAGCCAGCCACAGCAGGAGAAACAATAGCACACAGCCACAAGATAAAATGAGTAAATACGGTCGATGTACGTTATAATTATACGATATAAACAGTAATATTTCATACCTGAGATCAATAAGCCTTCAGCAGGATTCGGAGTCACTTATCCAGAACCAAATATGATAAAAAACACAATATTCTTGAGCGAAATATGCTCAAACGAAAAAGTCGAAAATTTGTAAATCACACTTGATACTTGATATACGATATCCCACAACTCATTGTGCGTGTGGCCCTTGTCTTCTAAAATACATACACCAAAAAGCACTCCCAGTCTATCGCTAGCTTGAAACTATAGGAAGCATTTATAATCTGGCCAAAAAAATGATTATAAAAAAATGATGAAAATTCTTATAAGCGAATAATGAGATAGATTTTCTAAAAAAATGATATGCCAATAATATAAATTTTTTATCGTTTAACGTATCGCATGTCATAACATTTGACAGCATTAACTGTGATGTCATAACATGTCGGTGATATTTACGCAAAATCTTGGGTAAATTTACACTTCATTTTTTGCGGTGGATCATACCATCTTCATTAAAGCGTAGATAGACGATTGTTGCAAATGATTTGAATTCATATATAATTGTCATTTTTCAATAGCAGCAATTCATTGGACATATTCAAATTAATTGTGATATCCGCCATGTTGAAACTGACACAATTCAGGACAGAGCCATTCAGTTTAAAATTTGACAAAAAAGTGAATGATATACAATGTTACAACTACAATCTTGGCCATAAACCGTAGGACGACGATAATTTTTTATGCATTTTTAAGGCCTCCCCCCTTCCCCCCATTCAATGTTGCCGTTTCGTGTATATTTATGATCTGACCTACTCTACAACAAAATTGTACGTGTACTAGAAATGTGGGAGAGCAACATTGAATGGGGGGAGCGGGGGGAGGTGCAAAATGATTTTAAAACCCAAGTATATTAAAAAGTTGCGAATTTGTTTTGTCGTTCTACGAACTTTTGGCCAAGATTGTCCGAAAATTATGTTTTTAATCCTTTACATATATATGTATTAAATTTAGAACACTAGTTGTAGAAATATTCAAAAATGTACTTATGTTCTTGTACTAATGGATAACACTTCAAAAGTCATTCTGATAGGTAGATGATGATAGGTAGATATTAATAAGTATTGTATACTGTAATTTGAGACCGGATTTCTGGGTAGGGCCTTAATCTTAATTTCTGATGTAAAATGAAGGAGAAAATTTCCCTTGTTTACATTACTTGCGCAAATTCATATATGTTCGCTTAGCTGTTGTTTCATTGAGTATATACTGTCACTGAGTACGGAGTGTCACAATACAGAAAGCCCGGCGGCCCCCATGTATAACAATTACATATTGATTTGCAGCGCATTATTATATCGCAATAAGCTCTTGCAATTACTCTTTGTTATGTAAAACGAAGTAGAAAATTTCTCTTGTTTACATTACTTGCACAAATAATTCTCAATTATCTAAACAAATTGGCTTAATTTCAATCTAATATCGTATAGATTGCCTTCTTTTATGAACAACTGAAATATATATTTAAAAACAGATATTCCATAGGAGTATGGTCCTATTTATAAAAAAGCAATTGAACTTTGATAGGTTGATTGTACAACTTCTACTAGAGTAAGACCATGATTGTCTCATATGTAACCTGAAAGCAAGTATAACTTGAGAAGCTTAGCAGAGCCACCTTAACTAAAGACGTAAATAGTACACGGCGCCAACACATATAACAATCATATTTGATATTTTTATGCAGCATAAATTGGCACAAGTGTCTTGTACAAGGTTAAATGCATTTTTCGTGGAAATGAACATGTAGCAATTTTCAGACAATCTTGGCCATAAACCGTAGGATGACGATAATTTTGTATGCATTTTTAAGGCCTCCCCCCCATTCAATGTTGCCATTTCATGTATATTTATGATCTGACCTACTCTACAACAAAAGTGTACATGTACTAGAAATGTGGGAGAGCAGCATTGAATGGGGGGAGCGGGGGGAGGTGCAAAATGATTTTAAAACCCAAGTATATTAAAAAGTTGCGAATTTGTTTTGTCGTTCTACGAACTTTTGGCCAAGATTGTAGGTTTATTCAATTCAATATCATATCTCGTTTTAGCCATGCAAAAGTTACCAAAAGAAAGGTTTTCATATATGCGATAAATAATATTGAACTTCATTTCAAGATTGCTTTTCTAATTATAAGAATATTATTCTAGGATGGAAAAATGATATTCTTAAAATAAGAAAAAAATTCTCTCGAATATTCTTGCCCAGTTATATTTTCTTACTTTAAGATTTTTGTTCTTAAAACTAGATTTTTTTTCTTGAAATATTTCTTGATAAGAAATATTTACTTAAAATAAGAAAAATAATCTAAAAAATAAGAATATTATCCCCGAGCCGGCGGCGCAAAGCGCCGTGCGAGGGTACTAATTCCCCCCGGCTATTTACACCCGGGGAAACGAAAGCATTAGTGAAGTCTAAAGTTCATCAATGAGCGCGGGCGTCGGTCACCAACGATGGGTGGTCATCCTCACTGATCTCAAAAATACGGCGGACTGTCATGAATAACGGACACTGATTGGTCCAATTTAAAGTTTGCATTATAACGACTGCATGACGACAGCGAAATAGGCAAATAGCAAACATTTCTTGATTCGATGATTGATGAATTTTTTACTCGCATTTTTGCAAAATTTTGTAAATTTCAAGAGTTTTCTCATAAAGAAAGGGCGAAAGAATCGGCTAAAAGAAGGGAGCCAACGTTAACGAAGGTAAGTTTGTTTTAAATATTGATTTTATAATGGCTTTAAAACCCGACGGCCTCTGCGTATACTAATATGAAACAACTAAACAAGACAGCATATAATTTCAGTGTATCTTTAATATTGATTCCCTTTTTTATTATATTGAACTTTTTAAATAAAAAATAAAGCAAAGTTATTTGCAAGCGAGAATTTGAAATCATTTTATTGCAAACTCAAAGTTTATCGATAAAGCCATTTAATAGTTAAAGGCAGTTTAGTTTTATATTAAAGAACACTTTAAAACGTTTTGTGAATTGTTTGTGGTTGAATTTTACCGAAAAATTGAAGCTTGTATTACGTATAATTACATACCTAACATATATATGTTGGGAAATTGATAATTTTGTAATTAAAAGTGACATTTTTGGCGATTTTCATTTGTAAGAATATTCTTAAAAAATTATCCTGTTACCATGACAACTACTTTAGATACTTCATGTTCGGAAAATACAACGGTTTTGTCAGCAAGGCGAGGGTTTCTGCATGCATGTATTTTCTAGTAATATTATTGTCTTCATTACATGCACTGAACCGAAGATATGAAAATACAAGTCGTCAATCATTTCATGATGATACTTGCGACTTGTCGAGTAACTCTTAAGTGCTTGCATGCATTAATCTCACGAGTGTTTAATTGCATGTGTCTAGTTTGTTTTCGTTATGAAAATGAATACGATGTACTGTAATCGATCAATCTCCGCATGAGGATGAGGGAGAGACGAGAAAACCCTGTTCTGGGCCTGTCACGTGATATGGATTTATTTGGCAGCTACCCGTCAAGGAGTGGCGAGATATTTATAATTTACTTAACAGAAAATTATAAACAAGTCTTCGAAACAAATAAACAGCCAAAACACTTTTCAATCGATCGAAATTATTTATGTGTAGCGAGGTTTGGCATGAATCAGCTCAAATCGTTGAAGAAAACGTCTATGGTTTCTAAGATATACCGATATTTCTGGAGATTTTCACACACAGTGGCAGGCAAAGGCGAAGGCACAACTGTATCTCGACATGATTTCCAAGCTGCATCTAGGCGTATCCAAGTAGCAATTCACACGAAATTTGCTTTCTCTCGTCTTGAACAATATGGCTATTGCCTTTAATATTTAGTTTAAATTAAATATGCTCTTATAGATCTGACTTTATTTAAATAAACACAAATATAGTAAAACAGGTAAGAAATTTGCTGTCGCTGGTCAATAAATTGCGGGCGCTAGCGAAAATTTTGTTTTAAATTATTAAAATAAACAAAAACAAGTTTTTGGGCTTCTCGTTTGGGACGAAAACAG